CTCCGGCTGGAGGTATCTCCCACCTCCGCTCCCTCCTTTGTTTTTGCGCCTACCTTCAGGAAAGGTGGGCATCTCCACCTCTCTCTCTCTCTCTCTCTCTCTCTTGGTCCCAATGGCTGAGGAGAAAGTCAGGAGAAGAGGTGACTTTTGGTGCACATGCCGGGGTCTTCAGGCACGCCTCCGGACCCAAAGCGGGCCAGGCAAGGGAGCAAGTGCGGCAAGTGTAGTTACTGGGATGTATAGTTCACCTACAATCAAAGAGCATTCTGAACTCCACCAATGATGGAATTGAACCAAAAATGGCACACAGAACTCCCACGACAAACAGAAAATATATATCAATGATTGGTTGGGGGGGGGGGCGCAAAATACTGTTTGCTTACCGTTGAAAATTACCTAGGGCCGCCTCTGTATACATGGCTATCATATCTCCTCTCAGCCTTCTCTTCTCAGCTAAGTATAATCCAATAGCATTGGTCAAACAAGAATCCATGGCAGCAAGACAAAGTTCCCAATGGGAATATATTATGAGGCAAGTCAGTTGGCAAGATTATTAGAATTTGAATTGGAAGGGTTGAAAAGATGGGTGCAAATAGAAAAGGAAGCAAACAGTTGGCAAAGGGGAACGTAAATGGGAGAGAGAATAGACAGAAAAGACTGAAAGAACTTAAAAGTCGGCCCCTGTTTATCAACATTGTTAATTTGGGGAAAATGGCAAAATAAATTAGAAAAAAAGCAACCCTTTCCCATGGGAAACCTTGTAAAATAAGGACAAGACATTCAGGGACCTAATGAGGGCACTTAAGGATATTGGAATCAAAAGGATAGGGGACCTCATGGAACCCAATGGAGAAATAATAAAGTGGGGTAAGATAAAAGACAAATGTGGTCATGGAAACTGGATAGCGTGGCTAGACCTGTCCAGCAAAGCTCAAGCCATGAAAAGAAGAGAAGAAGCAGAAAGCCCACTTGACAGAATAATTAAAAAAGGAAAGTAGAAATAGACAAAGGGATTATTGGGCTACTATATGACTTACAAAACAAAAACAACCCTTGTAGAAAATTGGAAAGCTTCAATGAGAAATTAATTGGGTCTTGGACTGACAATATTACTAAAATTAAACATTTGAGGATCCAAGAAACCCAAAGGAAAATCATCTCCAAATGGAATAAAACTCCCACCCAATTAGCACACATTATGGGAAATGTCTCAAACAAATGTTGGCACAACTGTGGGGGGATCGGCTCATTCTCCCACATGTGGTGGGATTGTATCAAAATTCAGAACTATTATAGTAAAATAAGGACGGTAATGGAAGACATAATAGGGAAAGAATTAATCTGGGATAAAGTATTATTATTATTATTATTATTATTATTATTATTATCTTTATTTGTACCCCGCGAGCATCTCCCAAAGGACTCGATGCGGCTTACAAAGGCCAAGGCCTCAACAACAGTAGCATAGCAAATACAACCAAAAGCAAAATCAAAAACATTAAAGCAAAACAATAAAACAACAAAATAATACACCATAGCACAATAAAACTAGGGCCGGGCCAAGTAATGGGTACAGATTAAAAAGTGCTGCGTGTGACAGGTGGGATGTCGGATTTCAGGGTAAGTGCAATGTGCAGAGACTCTTAAAACTCTAATAAAGTGCTTCTGGGACATAATGCTGGAGTTTCCTATTCTGGAAAGGCACATGTTCAGAAATCTGTAACCCATCATCCTCCTTGTCCTGAGGAAACTCAGGCTCAGAAAGCTCAGGCTCAAACCAAGATCAAAACCAAAGTCCCAAAGAGCCAAAAGCTTTCCCCAAAAGCTGAGGCAATACCAAAGAATCATAGAATCAAAGAGTTGGAAGAGACCTCATGGGCCATCCAGTCCAACCCCCTGCCAAGAAGCAGGAATATTGCATTCAAATCACCCCTGACAGATGGCCATCCAGCCTCTGTTTAAAAGCTTCCAAAGATATACCCTTTTAATTTCTGGATAAATTTTCCTTTGCCCCCATTGGGCGCATATATATTGCAGATTAAAATTTTAAGACCAAAATTTATTAACCAAAACTCCTAGTATTCTCCCATCGTCATCTTTAAAGGCTAGACTGGATATTAAACTTTCTTTAATGTATGTAGCTACACTCAAAGAATATCCCAAAAGAGTAATACGACTAAAACAACAAACTGGAGTAACTTCCTCCAATACTTAGAGGAGGTTAATAATATTAATAATAAAATAAAAAATAAATAAAAACGTAAAATACTAATAAGAATAATAACAATATCAACGATAATACTATTAGACAAACTTCCCGGCGAAGAAAAGAAAATTGTTGGCTTAATAAAATAAGGCAAAACTTAAATAATAATCGGACTTCATTCTCTCCACAAGAAGAAAAGACAATAGTCTCAAGAAGGTGAAGAATATGATCCACCCCTGGACAACTTGGAAGTGCCTTACAAAACGGACAGAATCCCCTTCTCGTGAATGTGTCGAGCGAATGAGTGTGTGTGAGGGTGAGAGAGTGAGGTATATCCCCCCCCCTTCCTTTCCCCATTTTTGTTTGTTTGTTTGTAGGGAAGCCCTACTCTACGGGCCTCCCTATCTTTTCTTTCTTCTGCACTTTCCTATCCCAACCCAATTGTTCCACCACTTTTTATATACTTAAAAATTCACAATAAATATATATATATATAAAAAAGCTTCCAAAGAAGGAGCCTCCACCACACTCCGGGGCAGAGAGTTCCACTGCTGAACGGCTCTCACAGTCAGGAAGTTCTTCCTCATGTTCAGATGGAATCTCCTTTCTTGTAGTTTGAAGCCATTGTTCCACGTCCTAGTCTCCAGGGAAGCAGAAAACAAGCTTGCTCCCTCCACCCTGTGGCTTCCTCTCACATATTTATACATGCAGGGGCGGCTCGTCCATTACGCGAAGTAAGCGGTCGCAGAACACTTTTTTTGCCAGGGGCGCCGAGGCGCCTCTGTAAATGCCCCTCGACTGCCACTTGAGGAGCGCCCCCTCAGCTCACAACAGCCCTAGCAGTCCGGGGGGAGCCTCTGCTTTCTTGCCTCGCTGCCAGGCGATCCTCTTCCCAAAGGGGCTGGGCCCTTGAGCCTCACCTAGCCCCTCTCATTCCTGCTCCACCCGGCCACCGGGTGCACGAGCAGAGCCGGTGCGCTCAATCATTCTCCGCGTTCGATCCCTTCCCCATGACCGGCTCCCTTTCCCAATCCCCCAGCGCTCCACCCGCCTCCTCTCCTCTCCCCAATCCGCGGGTGGGCCAAGGGGCGGAGCTGCCGCCCCTGGCCCGCTTCGGGTCCAGAGGCGTGTCTGAAGACCCCAGCGTGCACACCAAAAGTCGCCTCTTCTCCTGACTTTCTCTTCAGCCATTGGGACCAAGAGAGAGAGAGAGAGCCCCTCCGGCTGGAGGTACCTCCCACCTCCGCTCCTTTGTTTTTGCGCCTACCTTCAGGAAAGGTGGGCATCTCCACCTCTGTCTCTCTCTCTCTCTCTCGGTCCCAATGGCTGAGGAGAAAGTCAGGAGAAGAGGTGACTTTTGGTGCACATGCCAGGGTCTTCAGGCACTCCTCCGGACCCAAAGCGGGCCAGGCAAGGGAGCAAATGCAGAGCAAGTTGTAGTTACTGGGATGTATAGTTCACCTACAATCAAAGAGCATTCTGAACTCCACCAATGATGGAATTGAACCAAATATGGCTCACAGAACTCCCACGACGAACAGAAAATATATATCAGTGATTGGTTGGGGGGGGGGGCAAAATACTGTTTGCTTACCGTTGAAAATTACCTAGGGCCGCCTCTGGCTGTCTGTGTGATTTTCTTGCAACAGCTCAGGAGATGCTCCATGGTTTCATCAGCTTCCTTGCACAGTCTGCATTTTGGGTCATCCACTGATTTTTCAATCCTTAATGGCATTGGTTCTGATGGCTTGCTCCTGGGCTGCAAGAATCAGGCCTTCTGTCTCCTTCTTCAGAGTTCCATTCATGAACCATAACCAGGTCTTCTCCTTGTCAATTTTTCCTCCAATCTTCTCAAGGAACTGCTTTGTTGTGCCAGCTGTCAGCTTTGGTTTGGAGTGCCGTTTTCTTGTACTGACTCTTTGTCTGCTGTGCTTTGAGAAGTTTCCGATTATTGACTTCAATTAAAGCAGTTTCTTGGCTTTCCTTGACATATTCTGCCAGGGCGTGTTTTTCTTCTTCAGCTGCTTGTTTGACTTGTCACCTTGTCGTGGTGGGGGGCTTAACTGCTCCAAGGATGCTGAGAGCTGTGCTGGCGGTACTACCAGCAGGTCCAACCAAGCCGGAGCGGTCTCAGCTGAGGAGTGGAACCAAGATCACCTAACCCATTAGCACTATGGAGAAGCAAACCAAAACGAAATCTATACTGGCTCGGTTGACGCCCAGGATAAAAAGGACCGCGGTGGATGCTGCTTATTCTGGACATCCATCGACAAGTGGGCTACAGAATCAAAATAGAAATGAACCATCACAGAAGCGGCAGAAATATACAATGCCAGATAACCACACAATTATTATTATCATTATTATAATTATTGACACAAAAGCACAGTATGTCAGGGTAAACGAGATCTATATGCTGGATTTAGTATCACAAAAATCACAATTCGAACACTTCCCAAGCATCTAGGACTGTGATTTATTTTCGAATGATGCGCACAGATCCAAGTAAGGTGGCCTTTTGCAGTTGACACATCGTGATTTTGTCGATGTTTATTGTTACCAAATGCTGGCTGAGATCTTTTGGCATGGCACCCAGTGCGCCAATGACCACTGGGACCACCTTATTATTATTATTATTATTATTATTATTATTATTATTATTGACTGCATCAATAGGAGACTTGTGTCTGAATCCAGGAAGTTAGCCCCACTCTGTTCACTATAAATTGGGAAAGTCGCAAACAACAACAATACACATCGGCTACACGAATGAACATGCCATCAATGCCTCCGGAAGGATTGAAAATGCTTTTATTTCATTTACCGTGATGATGAAGAATGAGAAGAAGAAGAGGCAATAGACAAATAAAGACTCTAAAAACTGTGTGTTTGGACAGTGGGTCCAGGACTGTATTACAAGACTGTGGTTGTGTCGAGCTTAGAAATCCTCTTTCATGAGGATCTGATTTGTAAAGTTTCTAGTCCATATTGAATTCGAAGCTGAATTCACGTTGGTGAGTCTTCCCCATGGAAGCGGAGGGGCCAAACTGGTCCTCCCTCAATAAACCAGTTCGTAAATGGTGGCTTTCTTGTCTCCTGATCCCGTCACGATGAATTTGTCGTTGCCCGAGATGTCACAGCTGAGCACCGAAGACGACTCTTTGGACTGCAAAAGCGGGCCAGAAAAAAAGGGTGAATAATATCAAACACTTGGAAGGATGTCATAAGAATTCATAGATTCATAAGAGACCCCAAGGCCCACCCAGTGCAACCCTTCTGCCAGAGATGACACCATCGAAGCCCTCCCGACAGATAGCCACCCAGCCTCACAGACATTAGTAGGCTCATGGAGAAATAGGGCTATAGGCTCACCCAATTCTAAAGTTGGAAAAGAACCCCAAAGGCCATCCAATCTCACCCCCTTTTGCCACAGAGGACACCATCAAAACCCTCCCGACAGATGGCCATGCAGCCTCATAAGCGATAGAAGATTTGCGGAGGAACAAAACTATAAATCATAGAATCCTAGAGTTGAAAGACTCCCCAAGGGCCATTTAGTCCAGCCTCCTTTGGCGAGACACAATTGAAGCCCTCCTGACAGATGGCCATTCAGTCTCTGTTTCAGAGAAGAAGACTCTACCAGACTACCAAGTAGCATATTCCATTATGGGAAGGACTCAAAACGCCTCGGGTGAAATGTGTGGTGTTCTGATTTGTTTTTACAGCTATTATTATTATCATTATTTCATTTTTGCGGCTATTATTATTATTATTATTCCTTTTACGGTTATTATTATTACTATTATTTCCTTTTACGGCTATTATTAATAATATTATTTACTTTTATGGCTATTATTTACTTTTTACGGCTATTATTATTATTATTATTATTATTATTCTTTTGCAGTTATTATTATTACTATTATTTCCTTTTACAGCTATTATTATTATTTCCTTTTACGGCTATTATTATTATTATTATTTTACAGTTATTATTATTACTATTATTTCCTTTTACGGCTATTATTATTATTCTTTTACAGTTATTATTATTATTATTATTATTATTTCCTTTTACGGCTATTATTATTATTATTATTATTATTATTATTCTTTTACAGTTATTATTATTACTATTATTTCCTTTTACAGCTATTATTATTATTTCCTTTTACGGCTATTATTATTATTATTATTATTATTCTTTTACAGTTATTATTATTATTATTATTATTATTTCCTTTTATGGCTATTATTATTATTATTATTATTATTATTATTATTATTATTATTTCCAGTGTGGAATGAATTCAATTTGATGCCACTTTAAGTGACATCCCTTTACCTGAAAGATGCTTGCTCCGTAGGGTGTCCTCCATGCATTAAGTAAGTTGTCTTTGCCAGTGCTTATAAACCATTTGCCTGCAACAGAAGGGAGAAAAAAGGGTGACAAGGATCCGGGGAGAAAAGAATTTTTCCAAAACCCGGAGCAGAGGAGTGCGGCACTGGAATCAATGGAAAAAGAGACCTACCGCAGGTGGCAAACTTGAGGGAGAGGACGCAGCTCTCGTGGAGGTGCAGCTGGTACTTCTCCGATTTGGTGACGTGAAGGATTTCCACGTTGCTGCTCTCCATCCCGACCGCCAGCCATTCCCCGGTGGGGCAGTAGCCCAAGGAGAAGATCTGAGTTAAACACAGAGTCATTTGAGAGGAGAGAAGACTCAGAGGGGACATGACAGTCTCCTTTCTTGGGGGTTTCGAAGTAGAGACTGGATGGCCATCTGCTGGGAGGGTTCGAATGTTGTCTTCCCTGTATTAAAAGGGATTGGACTGAGTGACTTTTGGGGGTCCCTTCCAATGCTAAGATTCTATAGCCCTATTTCACCATGAACCTGCTCGTGTCCATAAGGCTGGATGGCCATTTCTTGGGAGGTATTGGATGGTGTCTTCCCTGCCTTAAAGGGGTTGGGCTGGGTCAACGCTAGGATTCTATAGTCCTATTTCCCTATGAAGCTCATATTTATGAAGTTGGACGGCCATCTGTCGAGAGGGCTTTGATGGTGCCATCCGTAATGGCAAAAGGGGGTATAGATTAGATGGCCTTTGGGGTCTTCTCCAACTCTAGGATTCTGATTCACCCAAGGGCCATCCCATCCAATGCAGGAAGACACCATCCAATCCCTCCCGACAGATGGCCACCCAGCCTCACAGACACAACCAGATTCATGGGGAAATAGGGCTACAGAATCCTAGCATTGGAAGGGACTCCCAAAGGTCATCCAGTCCAAACCCTTTAATACAGGGAAGACACCATCCAATCCCTCCCGGCAGATGGCCACCCAGCCTCACAGACACAACTAGATTCATGGGGAAATAGGGCTACAGAATCCCAGCATTGGAAGGGACCCTCAAAAGTCATCCAGTCCAACCACTTTAATTCAGGGACGACACCGTCCGATCCCTCCTGACAGATGGCCATCCAGCCTTGTAGACATGATTAGGTTAATTGAGAAATAGGACTATGGAATCTTAGAATCCTAGAATGGGAAGAGACCTCAAGGGACATCCAGTCCAACCCACTTCTGCTCTAAAGGATAACACCATCAAAGCACTCTCTACAGATGGCCATCCAACCTGACAAGTAATAGAAGATTCATGAAGAAATAGGGCTATAGAATCCCCGAGCTGGAAGAGACCTCAAGGGTCGTCATCCTGTCCAATGCGGAGAGACACCATCGAAGCCCTCCTGACAGATGGCCATCCAGCTTCAGCTTAAAAGCCTCCATAGACCTTGCCACCAGTCACTCTTAAAAAAAAAAACAATATTGCTATCCATTCCAAGACCTGACCTGAGAGCTGAAGTCGTGCTGCTGGAGCTGGCGTCCCTCCCGCAGGTCCCAGCACCGGACTGTATTGTCCAAGCCGCCGGTCCAGAGTTTGGTGCCATAGTTGGAGATGTCGATACAGCTGGCCCCGTCGGTGTGGCCCTGGAATTGCCTGCGGAACAGCAGGAAAAGGACATCATATATAGTATCTATTATTTGATGCATAACAAGATTAGTACACAGCAAACAATATCACTATGCTGGATGCATGCAGATCCGAGTAGGGTGGCCTTTTGTAGCTGACAGATGGTGATTGTTTTTTTTTATTATTATTTAAGTAGACATACATTTGCAAGTGTTTGTTGCATACAGTGCAATACTTTCCATCTATTAATGTTCCATTTATTTGTCGTGTCAGAGCAACCAGTCCATTATATTACATTTCTAATAGAACAAAGCAAACAAACAGACAAATGCAAAACTTGTGAGTTTGGTAGTTGGTTAAATGTCCTTTGACCAGTATCTGGCCACTTGGAGTGCTTCGGTCCTCCATTGTGCATGTGGCAGGGCTCAGGTTGCATTGCAGCAGGTGGTCAGTGGTTTGCTCTTCTCCACACTCGCATGTCGAGGATTCCACTTTGTAGCCCCATTTCTGAAGGTTGGCTCTGCATCTCGTGGTGCCAGAGCGCAGTCTGTTCAGCGCCTTCCAAGTCGCCCAGTCTTCTGTGTGCCCAGGGGGAGTCTCTCATTTGGTATCAGCCATTGGTTGAGGTTCTAGGTTTGAGCCTGCCACTTTTGGACTCTCGCTTGCTGAGGTGTTCCAGCGAGTGTCTCTGTAGATCTTAGAAAACTATTTCTAGATTTAAGTCGTTGACGTGCTGGCTGATACCCAAACAGGGGATGAGCTGGAGATGTCTCTGCCTTGGTCCTTTCACTATTGGTGAAAGGTAGTGGGCGGATGTCAGGTGGTGCAATACCGACTAAGCAGTGTAATTTCTCCAGTGGTGTAGGGCGCAGACACCCCGTGATAATGCGGCATGTCTCATTAAGAGCCACATCTACTGTTTTAGCGTGGTGAGATGTGTTCCACACTGGGCATGCGTACTCAGAAGCAGAGTAGCATAGCGCAAGGGCAGATGTCTTCACTGTGTCTGGTTGTGATCCCCAGGTTGTGCCAGTCAGCTTTCGTATGATATTGTTTCTAGGCCCACTTTTTGCTTGATGTTCAGGCAGTGCTTCTTGTAGGTCAGAGCACGGTCCAGAGTGACTCCCAGGTATTTGGGTGCGCTGCAATGCTCCAGTGGGATTCCTTCCCAGGTAATAATCCTCAGAGCTCGGGATGCTTCTCTGTTCTTGAGATGAAAGGCACATGTCTGTGTTTTAGATGGGTTAGGGATCAGCTGGTTTTCCCTATAATAGGCAGTAAGAGCACCTAGAGCTTCAGAAAGCTTCTGTTCTACCGTCTCAAAGCTCCCTGCTTGAGCAGTAATGGCACGATCATCAGCATAGATGAAAATCTCTGTCCCTTCTGGCAGTGGGTGGTCATTTGTGTAGATGTTGTAGATGTTGAACATGAGCTGCCACTATTGTGTAAAACAAAATTTTCCAAATTTTCTTTCTAATTCTTCCTCGGGCATATTCAAAAGGTACATTTGAGGTGTCATTTTGAAATTTGTGTTTTAACATTTTTTCAAGATATATATGGATCCGTTTCCAGTATTTTTTTACTTTGCTGCAAGTCCACCATGTATGGTAGAATGTACCTTTTCCTTTCCCACATTTCCAACATTTGTTGGAGCAATTACACATCTTAGCTAGTCTCTCTGGAGAGAGATACCGCCGATTGTTTTTAAGTGCAGGCCAAGGTCTTTAGGTACTGCACCCAGTGTGCCAGTCCCCACTGGGACCCCTTTGACTGGCTTAGCCAGAGTCTTTCCAATTTGATCTTTAAATCCTCATATTGTGTCAGGTTTTCCAGTTGCTTCTTGTTGATTCTGCTATCACCTGGGATTGCAACATCGATGATCCATACTTGCCCCCCCCCCCCCCCATGAGGTCAGGAGTCTTACGCTCCAAAACTCTCTCAGTCTGCATTCAGAAGTCCCAGAGTAGAATCACAGAATCATAGAGTTGGGAGAGACCTCATGGGCCATCCAGTCCAACCCCTGCCAAGAAGCAGGAATATTGCATTCAAAGCACCCCTGACAGATGGCCATCCAGCCTCTCTTTAAAAGCTTCCAAAGAAGGAACCTCCACCACACTCCGGGGCAGAGAGTTCCACTGCTGAACAGCTCTCACAGCCAGGACGTTCTTCCTAATGTTCAGATGGAATCTCCTTTCATGTAGTTTGAGGCCATTGTTCCATGTCCTAGTCTCCAGGAAGCAGAAAACAAGCTTGCTCCCTCTTCTCCCAGAGAAGTGAGCCATAGCAGAGCACTTGAGGAACCAAACTGGACACGGAATATTATTTGTGAACACAGAAATGCTGGACCACTCTAACAACCACCATATTAGATGACACAGAGATGCCATTGAAATCCACAAGCAGGTAGACAATTTTAACAGAAAGGAGGAAACCATGAAAATGAACAAAATCTGGCTACCAGTATTAAAAAACTCTAAACTCAGGACAGTAAATAAAGAGCAACGTTCAGAAAACAAGGGAATTCCAGATAATAATCAATCAGGGCCAGCGAACACCTTCCAACCAAGGATTCCACCAAGCAGGAAGCAGCCAGGCTTTGAAGCTTCAAGGCTATTCAATGCTAATTAAGGTGGTCAATTCCAGCATTCACACTTGCCTCAAAGGGACAAGAGTTCTTTCTCCCACCCTGGACATTATTCCACAGATATATAAACCCCATTTTCCTAGTTTCCAACAGACCTCACAACCTCTGAGGATGCCTGCCATAGATGTGGGCGAAATGTCAGGAGAGAATGCTTCTGGAACATGGCCAGACAGCCCAGAAAACTCACAGCAACCCAGATTAGGTGTTTGTTTATTTTTTAACAATGCTGTAACGCACCTCGAGCCATGAAGGGAGGCAGGCAAGAAATAAAACTATGATGATGATGAGATGTGTTTGGACTTACCTGTCCGAACGCATCTCCCCTTACGAACCCTCTAGGACTTTAAGATCGTCTGGAGAGGCCCTGCTTTCGATCCCGCCTTCGTCACAAGTACGGCTGGCAGGGACGAGAGACAGGGCCTTCTCAGTGGTGGCCCCTTGGCTATGGATATTAGATTGGCCCCTTCCCTTTTAACATTTCAAAAGCAGGTCAAGACGTGGCTCTTTGAGCAAGCATTTGCAGACACAATATAACAGACATGGAGAAAAATGGAACGACTCAACGATGTTATTGGATAACGCTTTTAACTAGGAGACTCAAATTGATATATGTTTTATTGATATTGATTGTTTTACTTGGTTTTATATTTAAATTGATTGTTTTTAAATTGCATTTTATGCCTTTGATACTGACTGTAAACCGCCCCGAGTCGCCTGTGGGCTGAGAGGGGCAGTATATAAATCTATATAAATAAAAATGTAATGTTCGTTTGTGGGATTAACAGAACTCAAAAAACCACTGGACGAATTGGCACCATGGGAGTGGTCATCCTCCTCTCTCCATTAAATCTACAGTATAGATACACCCAAAGTCACCCCTTCTATACTGCCATCTAAAATCCAGATTATCTACTTAGAACTGGATAATATGGCAGTGTAGACTCACATATATGTATATGGATGTTGGTTGACTGGTTGCATATACAATACTTTATATATTGCTATTTTATATATTGCTATATAATACATATGTATTTCATAATATATAACTAATATATATATATATATATATATATTATAAAACCTATATATATTATATAAAATATAATTACAATCTCTCTCTCTCTCTCTCTCTCTCTCTCTCTCTCTCTATATATATATATATATATATATATATATAAATGCTCTGTGCATAATGAGGACCTTAAAAACGAAAGAACCAATGAATGAAATCACACCAAATTTGGCAACAAAATGTCTCACAACACAAGGAGTGACCATCACTCAAAAAATTATGATTTTGTCATTTGGGAGTTGTAGTTGCTGGGATTTATAGTTCACCTACAATCAAAGAGCATTCTGAACTCCACCAACAATGGAATTGAACCAAACTTGGCACACAGGACTCCCCTGACCAACAGAAAATACTGGAAGGGTTTGGTGGGCATTGACCTTGAGTTTGGGAGTTGTAGTTCACCTACATCCAGAGAGCACTGTGGACTCAAACAATGATGGATCTGGACCAAACTTGGCACAAGCATTCAATACGCCCAAATATGAACACAGATGGAGTTTGGGGGAAATAGACCTTGACATTTGGGAGTTGTAGTCACTGGGATTCACAGTTCACCTACAATCAAAGAGCATTCTGAACCCCACGAACGACAGAATTGGGGCAAACTTCCCATACAGAACCCCCATGACCAACAGAAAATACTTGAGGCCATCAAATCCAACTCCCTTCATCAGGGCAAGAAAACGTAAAGAAGGAGGGAGGGATAGAAAGAAGGAGGGAAGGAGAGAAGAAAAGAAAAAGAAACGTATACAAGGAAGGAAGAAGAGAAGGAAATAAAAGCGGAAAGGAAAGAGAGAGGGAAGGAAGGAGAGAAGGAAGGATGTAACCAAAGAACAAAGAAAGGGAGGAAAGAAACAGGTAGAGACGGAAGAAAGAAGAGAAATAAGAAGGGAAGGAAAAAGAGGGAAGGAAGGAGAGAAAGAGGGAGGGAAGGTTGACCACAGCAATGCGTGGTGGGTACAGCTAGTGTAGTAAATAAATAAATGGTGATGCATAGACCCTAAGGAGTCTCTGCAGCCATGAATGAATAATTAATGGCTGGAAATACAGACATATACCCCTTTTCTCAGGACTCCCATACTTGAGAGTTTGCAGGGAGATGACAGTTTGTCAGGCCCCGATACTTCTGAGGCAGGAAAAACAAAGGATGCTTTACTTAGCGGTGGGTCTGCCAGTCGACTCTCCCTCTAAGAAGACCCCTTTACCTGACCATGGTTTGGTTCTGGAGGTCCCAGACCACGATGTTGCCATCACTGCAGCAGGAGAAGCAGACCTTTGCGTCTGGGCTGATGGCCAAAGCGTAGCAAGCTGGGGCCGAAGAGGTCAGCTCGGCCTTGATCCGGGGGGTGGGGGCCGCCAGGTCCCAGATGGAAAGGGTGCTGGCCTCCCCTCCCACTATCAGGCTGCGACCGTCCGGAAGGAGCTTGCAGGACCGGATGTAGTTATCCCGATTCTAAGGACGGAAGAAGGAGAAGAACTTTGTTCACTAAAAGGGCTTTCTCCGCCAATGTTTAACATTTACACGATCAGTCACTGTCAGAAGGGACAGAGAGTTTCATCTATGCTGACGATGGTGCCGTCACTGCTCAAGTAGGGAGCTTTGAGATGGCTGAACAGAAGCTCTCTGAATCTTTACCTGCGCTTGCCACCTAAAACAATAATAATAATAACACTTTATTTGTACCCCGCTACCATCTCCCCAAGGGACTCGGTGCGGCCTGAGCCCAAATACAACAATACAAGCAATAATAACAACAATACAAGCAAGTAAAATAAAAAAAACATAGACAATAAAATATGCAACAATTAAAAATAAGACAACACACAATAAAAAACAGTGGGAAGGCCAAATGTAAAGTTAAAATTGGAAATGATGCCGATTACAGGGAAAACCAGCTGATTCCTAATCCTGATTCTAAAAACGGAAGAAGGTAGAGATGAACTTTGTTCACAAAAAAAGGCTGTGAAACAGTGGAACAAGTTGCCTCGGAGGGTGGTAGACTCTTTCTGCTAGTTCTGTTGATCCCCTCAGAATCCAAGGAGACTTGAGTTTGTTTTGAATAGCCAGATAATGCTTCTTTACCTATATGGTGCTGCCTTTCCTCTGCTACGTTATCTGGCAGCCAGTAATAAAAGGACCAAGACCGTGCTCTGACTTATACAAAGCACTGCTTGAATATCAAAGCAAAAAGTGGGTGCTAGAAATAATATCCTAAGAAAGCTGACTGGCACAACCTGGGGATCACAACCAGACACAGTGAAGACATCTGCCCTTGTGCTTGGCTACTATGCAGCTGAGTATGCATGCCCAGTGTGGAACACATCTCAACACGTTAAAACAGTGAATGTGGCTCTTAATGAGACATGCTGCATTATCAAAGGATGTCTATGCCCGACACCACTGGAGAAATTATACTGTAGCATATTGTATTACATTATAAAAGGACCAAGGCATTGACATCTCTAGCTCATCCTCTGTTCAGATATCAGCCAGCAAGCCAATGCTTTAAATCAAGAAAGAGCGTCCTAAGTGTCGGGATGCTTACCAAGCAGTCCAGTTGTGCCACAGGGGTCTTGGTGCCCGGCTGCCCCACGTCCCAGACCTTCACGCAGCCCTTCCCGCCTGTATAGACGTGCTGCGTGGAATTACTGATGGTGACGGCGCAGACCACCTCCCCGTGGCCAAGTGTGTGGAGCTGGCGAGCATGGCGGGGGATGCCTGAGCCAATCAGGGCATCTGGAGGGAAGGGCACTGGCTGCATTTGCCCGTCGGCACTCACGTGGAAGGAGTAGGCCCTGAGTGAGACGGGGAGAGAGCCGGGCATTGTGAAAGCGCAGGAGCAACAGACAGCTGGGGTCAAAAATGGTGGAGGAGCAGTTGTTTCCCATCGCCCTGACTCCCATCACCCTCCTGCAGGAATATGCCGCCTTGACGGGCTTGAGGCCCAGGATGAGCACCTCAATGCCAAGGGCTAGGGCATGACATTAATTGGGAGACTGGGACCAAAACCTCTGCCTCTAGGGCCGAATGCCAAGAGGGAGACCAAGACTGGGGCCTTGATGCCAAGACGGGACGAAGATCAGGACCTCGATATCAGACCTAAAGCCCCCAAAGAAGCCCAGCCTGAGGATAGAACTAAGACACAGCTGAACTAGATAGAAAAGTGTGGTAGAGGTTACTATAGTAGGCTATTGTTATCAGAAATGTAGATTGCCCCAAGTATGCACAATGTATGGACTAAGCATTCAAAGATTTGGGGCAAATACATCTAATTGGTTTAGGGCAGTGGTTCTCATACCTTCCTATATGCCACGACCCCTTAATACAGTTCCTCATGTTGTGGTGAAACCCAACCATAAATCATTTTTGTTGCTACTTCACAACTGTAATTTTTGCTACTGTTATGAATCGTAATGTAAATATCTCATATTCAGGATGTATTTTCCCAATATGCCCAAATTTGAATATTGATGGGGTTTGGGGGGGGGGGGGGGGATTTTGTCACTTGGGAGTTGCAGTTGCTGGGATTTATAGTTCACCTACAATCAAAGCGCATTTTGAACTACACCAATGATGAAATTGACCCAGACTTGGCACAGGGAACTCCCATGACCAACAGAAAATACTGGAAGGGTTTGGTGGGCATTGACCTTGAGTTTGGGAGTTGTAGTTCCCCTACATCAAGAGAGCACTGTCAATTTTGCCCTGATTGGGGAAAATAGACCTTGGCATTTGGGAGTTGTAGTCACTGGGATTTATAGTTCACCTGCAATCAAAGAGCATTCTGAATCCCACCAATGAGAGAATTGGGCCAAACTTCCCACACAGAACCCCCATGACCAACAGAATATACTGTGTTGTTGTAGGTTTTTTTGGGCTATATGGCCATGTTCTAGAGGCATTCTCTCCTGACGTTTCGCCTGCATCTATGGCAAGCATCCTCAGAGGTAGTGAAGATGCTTGCCATAGATGCAGGCGAAACGTCAGGAGAGAATGCCTCTAGAACATGGCCATATAGCCCGAAAAAACCTACAACAACCCAGTGATTCTGGCCATGAAAGCCTTCGATAATACAGAAAATACTGTGTTTTCTGATGATCTTTGGCAACCCCTCTGACCCGCCCCCCCCTCATGACCCCCCCCCCGGGGTCCCGACCCCCAGGTTGAGAAACACTGGTTTAGGGGATACTCTCCGTTAACACTTTTTTGCCGGTTACTTAATTGGTCGCTTAGTGTAAAGATTATATCATCCCTTGATACCAGCTGGCCATTATCTAACTCCACTCTAATTCCCATCTGCTCTAAGGCAACCAGAGCATAGCTATATGAAATGTCTAGTACTTACAATCAAAGGTATCAATATCGTATTACTGCATTAATCCCAATAAGGCATAGCAACATGAACACAACACAACTTTGCATACAGCAAGCCCTAAAGATAGGATCCTGACATGGAGAGACAATGAACAGCTGAGGATCAAGACTTGGGGTCCCTCCAACTCAATGTTCCATCATCCTCCCTTAGGAATATGCCCTGTTTGAGTCACGTTTCAATAGGGAGCGACATCTACGCTGCCCACCTCCCACTCCCCGAAAATACATGGCCGTCTCAGGCTATAACTTACGGCTTGCTTCCCGGGACGGAAGGCAGGGAAGTGGATATAGTCGAACCACGCAAATGCGGGTGAGATTCAAAAGCCACCTATCAGGTAACAGAGAATTATTATTATTATTATTATTATTATTATTATTATTATTACTATTATTATTATTATTATTATTATTAAAGAGCAATAAATCAACGGCTTCAAGTGCACTATATGTAATTCATGTTCGGTCTAGAATGTTGTGTCGGAGGGTGGACTGCATTTCAAAACAATCCAAAACTACCCGCATACATGGATTTGCAGAACCCCCACATGGAAACTAACCGGACCATCGAGCGGTTGACTATTTCCCCAACCCCGACGGCAAAGTGAAGGCTTGGCTTACCACCGGAGAGCGTCCGTACATGACGGTCTGTGGGGAGAGGTGGATGCTGACGTAGGAGCCGGGAGCGGAGAGATCACCGTTCAGTGCCGCATGGGGCATGATCCCGAAGGAAGAGGAGGCGGCGAAGGAACCAGCCAAATTCAGGGGACTCCGGAGACCTCATGGGAGCGGGGCGAAGGGAAGCAGAGGGGAAGAGCTTCACTGTGAGAGGCTTTGTCCACTGAGACATGCTGATCTATCTATCTATCTATCGATCTATCTATCTATCTATCTATCTATCTATCTATCTATCTATCTATCTATCTACCTACCTACCTACCTACCTACCTACCTACCTACCTACCTACCTACCTACCTACCTACTTATCTGAGGAAGTTGGACTGGGTGGCGCTTGGGATTCTCTTCTATAAGATTCTATGATTCTATTTATCTCTATCTATCTATCTATCTATCTATCTATCTATAATCTATTTGTCGGTCTATCTATTAGTCGATCTATCTATCAATCTGATCTCTCTACCAGTTGGACTATCATCTATCAGTTGGACTATTTATCTATATATCTGTCTATCTGTTGGGTTATCTATCTATCAGATCTATCTATCTATCTATCTATCTATCTATCTATCTATCTATCTATCTATCTATCTATCTATCTATCTATCTATCTATCTATCTATCTGTTGTGTCAGTCAATCTGTCTATCTATCTATCTATCTATCTATCTATCTATCTATCTATCTATCTATCTATCTATCTATCAGTTTAGTTATCGATCTCTCTATCTGCTCTATCTATCAGTCGGACTATCTATCTGTCTGTCCATCTGTCTGTCGGTCAGTGTAGCTATCTGATCTATCTATCTATTTATCTATTTATATCTATCTACCATGTATCAGTCTGTCTATCCATCTGTCGGTCAGTCGATCTGTCTGTCTGTCGGTCGGCCTATCTATCTATCTATCTATCTATCTATCTATCTATCTGATCTCTCTATCAATCAATCAATCATGTAACAGTCTATCTGTCTATATCTATCTGTTTGCCTATCGGTCGGTTGGTCTATCTATCTATCTGATCTATCTACCTGTCATGTATCAGTCTGTCTATCTATCTATATAATCTATCTATTGGTTGGACTATCTGTCTGTCTATCCATTTATCAGATCTATCTGATCTATTTATCTATCATGTATCAGTCTATCTATATATCTATTGGTCGATCTATCTATCTATCTATCTGATCTATCTATCTATCTATCAGTCAGACTATGTATCTATCTGTTGTGTCTGTCAGTCTACTTGTCTGTCTGTCTGTCTGTCTATCTATCTATCTATCTATCTATCTATCTCATCCATCTATCATCTATCAGTTGGACTATCTGTCTGTCGGTCTATCTATCTATCTGATCTATCTATCATGTATTGGTCTGTCTATCTATCTATCTCTCTATCTATCTCATAGAATCAAAGAGTTGGAAGAGACCTCATGGGCCATCCAGTCCAACCCCCTGCCAAGAAGCAGGAATATTGCATTCAAATCACTCCTGACAGATGGCCATCCAGCCTCTGTTTAAAAGCTTCCAAAGAAGGAGCCTCCACCACACTCCGGGGCAGAGAGTTCCACTGCTGAACGGCTCTCGCAGTCAGGAAGTTCTTCCTAATGTTCAGATGGAATCTCCTTTCTTGTAGTTTGAAGCCATTGTTCCGCGTCCTAGTCTCCAGGGAACCAAGCTTGTTTCAGTATGCTATTCGAAAAGATTCTATGATTCTATGATTCTATCTATCTATCTATCTATCTATCTATCTAACTATCTATCTATTTATCTATCCACATACAGACACAGACTTTACTTACTGATGGCCTCCGTGGTGGCTGGTTTAGCCATCGTCTGGACCTGGGAGGTGCAGCTGGGACCAGGGCCAGGGGTGACGGATTCGGGAGGCGGAGAGAGGTTGGCCAGCTTACAGGTGGCAGAACTGGCATCGCTCTGAAACCGAAAGACCTTAAAGGATTAGACACTGATAACCCTAGACTTGGAAGAGACATCCGAAAGCCATCCAGTTCAACCCCCCTTTGTCCGGCAGAAAGCTCTCCCAACAGATGGCCATCTGAAAGTTCATGGAGAAATAGAGCTATAGAAAGAAGCAATCCAACACTATGCAGTATTGGCAAGGTTTGGATGCTCCATTTCTCATGCGTCTCTAACGAATCCTCCCTTCTCCTTCTCGCTTTTCTCTCTCCTCCGTCTCTCCTCCTCCCCTTCTTCCTCCCATCAAATCCGCGGCCCCTGAAACATGGCTCAGTGCCCACCGGCGGCTTTGGATTCCCGGGAGGGTTTTAATGTATAATTAATTGCTATTAGCACACAGGAACGAGAGCCAGAAGAGCATAAAGAGGGGAGACGCGGGCACCGTCTGGGCCAGAAGCAGGGCAAAGGTTTCCCTCCAAGATTGCGGTCATCTGTGCAACGCGTTGTGTGTGTGTTTTCCTCCTTATTCTAGTTAATCTGTGATATCACAAATGGTTGATGTGTTCTTTAAATGCAGTGGCTGCATCCACTCGGTTTGGGACGTCTGGAGCCGCGAGGAGAGGGAGTTAAGAAATACAATTATTATTATTAATCATTCATTTTTATTATTTTTCATTATGTTTATGAATGTAAAACTTTAATAATAATAGTAATAATAATGGAAGTCTCACATTTTTATTATTAATAATACTGTTTATAATATGATTAATGTGACCCTTCAAAAATATTACTAATATTATCACATAATAATAATAAATATGAAACTTTCATTATTATTATTATTATTATTAATAATAATAATTATATATATTTATACATATAATGCAGCAGGTTAAACCACTGAGCTGCTGAACTTGCTGACCAAAAGGTCAACAGTTCAAATCTGGGGAGCAGGGTGAACTCCTGCTGTTAGCCCCAGCTTCTGCCAACCTAGCAGTTCGAAAATATGCAAATTTGAGTAGATGAATAAGTATCCCTGCGACGGGAAGGTAACAGCGATCAATTCAGTCATGCCGGTCACATGAGCTTGGAGGTGTCTACGGATAACGCCGGCTCTTTGGCTTAGAAATTGAGATGAGCACCAACCCCCAGAGTCAGGGGAAAACCTTTACCGTTACCTATACACATAATGAAAGTGAAAATATGTATATGTGTGTGTGGCTGGGGTGTCCACTTACACAGACAGGTCCTGCCTCCACAAATAGCTATAGCTCCTACTACTCAGGAGATACCAATGGGCCTCCCTCCAATGACATTGCAAGTGATACTGAGCGCCATGAACATGTCCGAGGGATTTGAGAGGACTGACTCACCATAGTAGGAGTTGTAGTTTGCCCGACAGCCAGCGAGCACACTGAACCCCACCCATGATGCATCTAGACGAGCAAACTTGCCCAACATGACAAACTTTAAGTACTGATAGAGTTTCTCAGGGTGAACCTGGCATTGTGTGAATTGTAGTTCACCCACAACCTTAGGGATTCCGTACAATTAAAAAACTGACTTTTTACAATAACCCAGGAAACGCCAGGTACCCAAGGTAGTTAATAATAAATATGAAACTTTCATTATTAGTATTTATATTATTGTTAAACTTCCATAACAACAACAACAATGGGAGTTTAATATTCTTATTATTAATGTGAAACTTCCATAATAATAACGTGAAACTGCCATGCAGATTTGAGCACACGGTTTTAGCACAAAATGCTCAACATCCTTTCAATGGCATAGGCAGGCATAAGTTGTGTTGCTGTGTGCGTATAGGGATGCGCAATCATCATCTTTAGCTGGTAACTGAGTAAGCAGGTGATACATTTAAACACCCTGAAAGCTATGCAGATGCCTTTGCACATAAACTCCAATTACTGACCCAATTTTGGCAAGAGAAGTCCAAGTTAACCTCCAAAGAAAGGAAGGAAGGAAGGAAGGAAGGAAGGAAGGAAGGAAGGAAGGAAGGAAGGAAGGAAGGAAGGAAGAATCCTAGAGCTGGAAGAGACTCCCAAAGGTAATTTGGTCCAACCCAGATAGATAGATAGATAGATAGATAGATAGATAGATAGATAGATAGATAGATAGATAGATAGATAGATAGATAGATAGATAGATAGACAGACACACAGAATCTTAGAGTTGGAAGAGGCTCCCAAAGGCCATCCAGACAAACCCCCTTGTATAGATAGATAGATAGATAGATAGATAGATAGATAGATAGAGATAGAATTGGAAGACACTCTCAAAGGCCATCCAGACCAATCCCCTTGGATAGATATACAGAATCCTATAGCTTGCTGCAATTATTACAAACTGCATTCCAATCCAAACCCTCCCAACAGACGCCCATCCAATGTCAGCTTATAAACATTCAGAGAACTGGGTTGTTGTAGGTTTTTTCGGGCTATATGGCCATGTTCTAGAGGCATTTCTCCTGACGTTTCGCCTGCATCTATGGCAAGCATCCTCAGAGGTAGTGAGGTCTGTTGGAACTAGGGAAAAGGGTTTATATATCTGTGGAATGACCAGGGTGAGACAAAGGACTCTTGTCTGCTGGAGCTAGGTGTGAATGTTTCAACTGACCACCTTGATTAGCATTTGATTGCCTGGCAGTGCCTGGAGCAATCTTTTGTTGAGAGGTGATTAGATGTCCTTGTTTGTTTCCTCTCTGTTGTTGTGCTGTTCTAATTTTAGAGTTTTTTAATACTGGTCGCCAGATTTTGTTCATTTTCATGGTCTCCTCCTTTCTGTTGAAATTGTCCACATGCTTGTGGATTTCAATGGCTTCTCTGTGTAGTCTGACATGGTGGTTGTTGGAGTGATCCAGCATTTCTGTGTTCTCAAATAAAATGCTGTGTCCAGGTTGGTTCATCAGGCGCTCTGCTATGGCTGATTTCTCTGGTTGAAGTAGTCTGCAGTGCCTTTCTAATCTAACCACCTCTCTAATCACCTCTCAACAAAAGATTGCTCCAGGCACTGCCAGGAAATCAAATGCTAATCAAGGTGGTCAGTTGAAACATTCACACCTAGCTCCATCAGACTATTTATTTATTTATTTTGGGTACTTTTACCCCACCCTTCTCAACCCCCGAGGGGGGACTCAGGGCGGCTTACAAAAAGGCACAATTCGATGCCTACATAGAATATATATACATATAAAAACAGCAATCAAACAATTATCACAGTTAAAACAGTCAGTATATAACACAATCAATAAAAACTAATCTCAAGTTTAGCGTTCGTCTTTCAGAGTTCCATAATTCCATTCCACTTTGTCAATTCCTGTCCATCATCGAAGTCCTTCTTTATCTGCCTGCTTGTCCAAATGCCTGGTCCCAAATCCATGTTTTCAGTTTTTTCCTGAAGGAAAGGAGGGATGTCGCTGTTCTAATTTCCCCGGGGAGTGAATTCCACAGGTGAGGGGCCACCACTGAGAAGGCCCTGCTCCTCGTCCCCACCAATCTCACTTGTGATAGAGGCGGGGTCGAGAGCAGGGCCTCCCCAGACGATCTTAGACTTCGAGGTGGGACATAGAGGGAGATCCGTTCGGACAGATACACTGGGCCGGAACCGTATAGAGTCCTTTGTCTCACCCTGGTCATTCCAAAGATATATAAACCCTTTTCCCTAGTTCCAACAGAACTCACCACCTCTGAGGATGCTTGCCATAGATGCAGGCGAAACGTCAGGAGAGAATGCCTCTAGAACATGGCCATATAGACCGAAAAAACCTACAACAACCCAGTGATTCCGGCCATGAAAGCCTTCGACAAGACATTCAGAGAACTGCTGAACAGCTCTTACTGTCAGGACGTTCTTCCTAATGTTCAATCAGGATCAAGAAGGATGGGGAGCCAGGTCTAGAGGCCTCTCAATGCAGCGATTCCACAGATCTTTATCTTACCAAATTCGGGTCCTTTGCTTTCAATGGGGTTGCGCTTCGACTGGATGCCAGAGACGCAGGACTATCTGGGACGTCCCTCCGAGAAGGAAAAGGTCGGACGGTGGAGGCACAAATGGGACTATTGTGCTCAGAGGGAGGATCCTAAATAGGAAAGAAGGCAAGAATGCCTCCAAAATGGAATGCCACAAGGAGAGGCAGGAAAATAATAACAACAACAACAAAAACAACAACAACAACAATCCTTTCCTATTCTCTACTATGGCACACAGCAAACAGAGGAATTGATCAGCAATTGAACATACTAGAGAGCTTTGAGAAGAATCCACCATGATTAGTAGGAGTTGTAGGTACTGGGATGTATAGTTCACCTGCAATCTAAGAGCACTCTGAACCCCACCAACGATGCACCTGGAGCTCATTTGGCACACAGAACCTCCATGATCAATGAGAAAAAGTACTGGAGGTCTTTGAAGGGATTTAGAGGAGTTGTAGTTCACCTACATCCAGAGCACACTATGAACCCAAACAGTGATCACTCTGGACCAAATTTGGCATGCAGACCCGATATGCCCAAATTTGAATACTGGTGGGTCTTGAGGTGAATTGACCTGAATGTTTTGGAGTTGTAAGTACTGGGATTTATAGTTCATCTGCAATCATTGAGCACTCTGAATTCCACCAAAGATGGAATTGGACCAAACTTGGCACACAGAGCCCCCAAGGCCTGCAAAAAATACTGGAGGTCTTTGGGAGGAAATTCACCTTGATTTAGGGGAGTTGTAGTTCACCTACACCCAGAGAGCACTATGAACCCAGACACCAATGGATCTGGATCAAACTTGGCACACATTCATTATATGCCGAAATGTGATTACTGGAGGGGTTTGGGGGGAACTGACCTTCCTTTCTGGGGGTTGTAGTTCACCCACAACCAGATAAATTATGACCTCCACTGATGATGGACCTGGACCAAACTTGGCACACAGAACCCCCATGACTAACTCGAACTACTGGAGGGGTTTGAGGGGACTGACTCACCATACTGGGAGTTGTAGTTTACCCTACAGCCAGAGAGCACACTGAACCCCACCGATGATGCATCCAGAGCAAACTTGTTCAACATAACAAACTTTAAATACTGATGGAGTTTCTTGGGGTTCACCTGGCATGATGGGAGTTGTAGTTCAGCCACAACCTTAGGCATTTTGTACCATTAAAAAATGAGTTTTTCAAATAACCCGGCAATGCTGGGTCCCCAAACTAGTGAATAAGAAGATTCAGAGACCAATAATAATAATTTTCCAGATAATATGAATAATAATAAGATTCAGAGAGCAATAATAATAATGATTCACAGAGACCATGAATAAGAAGAAGATTCAAAGATCACAAATAATAATCTATATAAATAAAAATGTAATGTTCGTTTGTGGGATTAACAGAACTCAAAAACCACTGGACGAATTGACACCAAATTTGGACACAAGACACCTAACAACCCAATGTATGTCCTTCACTCGAAAATTGATTTTGTCATTTGGGAGTTGTAGTTGCTGGGATTTATAGTTCACCTACAATCAAAGAGCATTCTGAACCCCACCAACGATGGAATTGAACCAAACTTGGCACACAGTTCTCCCATGACCAACAGAAAATACTGGAAGGGTTTGGTGGGCAGTGTCCTTTGGTTTTGGAGTTATAGTTCACCTACATCCTGAGATCACTGTGGACTCAAACAATGATGGATCTGGACCAAACTCTACATGAAGACTCAGTATGCCCAAATGTGAACACTGGTGGAGTTTGGGGAAAATGGAATCTTGACATTTGGGAGTTGTAGTTGCTGGGATTTATAGTTCACCTACAGTCACAGAGCATTCTGAACCCCACCAACAATAGAATTGGGCCAAACCTCCCACACAGAACCCCTATGTGGGTCACAGCAACGTGTGGCAGGGGACGGCTAGTAATAATAATAATAATAATAATAATAATAATAATAATAATACTTCTAATTAATTGAATTTCAGCTTTGGCTTGCTATAACTCAAATCTATTTAAAATTTAATACAAAGCCATTACATCGGTGTTCTCTTCCCTCACTACTTGGCAAACTAAATGTAAGTTACTTTGGTACAGTGTAAAGGGGGGGGGGGCAGGAACATAACCCCAATATATGTGTGGCCTTCTTTCTACCTTTCTCTTCTTTTCAGCCCAATTCCTCCATGAACATTGCAACCTGAGTGAATTATGCAGGATTTCCCTTCTGCCTTGTCGGGAAGCCCTTGCATAATTTAATTTCTCTTTTTCTTCCCCCTCTGGGGAAGTCGAAGGGAATAATAAACCTTCCCCACAAACCTCATCCACGACCAGGTTGTAATCGCTCTTCTCTCCATCACTTTCCTGCCGAAACAAACAGAGAGAGAAGGAAAAGAATAAGAGGCATCCGTGAATAACCTTTGGGCAACCCAACTCAAAAGCTCTTTTCTAGCAGGAAGAAACTGGCTTTCTTCTGATTGCAAAGGAGGAAAGAGTGTGATTCGGTGTAGAATCACAAGTTGAACGTGAGCCGACAGTGTGACACTGCAGCGAAAAAGGCCAATGCGGAGTTGTTCCGAGTGGTCAAGGGACTCCTCCATATCCTGGTTCTCAGGAGGAGACTCCTGATCACTCGACGACTCCATGATCTATAGGAGTTGCAGGTACTGGGATTTATAGTTCACCAGCAATTGAAAAGCTCCCTGAACCCCACAAAAGATAAAATTGGACCAAACTTGGCACACAAAGCTCCCATAACCTGCAAAAAATACTTGAGGCCTTTGGGGAAAATTCACCTTGATTTGGGGGAGTTGTAGTTCACCCACATCCAGAGACCACTGTCAACCCAAACACCAATAGATCTGGACCTAACTTGGCACACGTACCTGATATGCTGAAATTTGATAACTGGAGGGGCTTGGGGGGATCTGACCTTCCTTTCTGGGAGTTGTAGTTCACCCACAACCAGAGAAACGGTGACCTCCACCCGTGATGGACCTGGACCAAACTTGGCACACAGAACCCCCATGACTAACTCAACCTACTGGAGAGTTTTGAGGGGACTGACTCACCATACTGGGAGTTGTAGTTTTCTCTACAGCCAGAGAGCACACTGAACCCCACCCACGATGCATCTAGAGCAGTGCTTCTCAACCTTGGGTCCCCAGGTGTTTTTGGCCTACAACTCCCAGAAATCCCAGCCAGTTTATTAGCTGTTAGGATTTCTGGGAATTGTAGGCCAAAAACATCTGGGGACCCCAGGTTGAGAACCGCTGATCTAGAGCAAACTTGTTCAACATAACAAACTGTAAGGACAGATGGGGTTTCTCGGGGTTAACCTGGCATGACGGAAGTTGTAGTTCACCCACAACCTTATGTATTTTGTACAATTGAAAAATTGACTTTTTCAAAGAACCCAGTCAACACCAGGGACCCAAGCTAGTAAATAATAATAATAATAATAATAATAATAATAATATTACATAATGTGCAGCATCTTCCTTTGCGTCTTGCTTGCGCTTTGGCCCCAGATTCTCCACCGGTTCCTCATCTTGCAGGCTCTCAGGAGGTGAAGCAGAATTGCTCTTTGGAAGGAAAGGCAGAACAATCACAGTTTGGGCGAGGATGAATGGTTATCTGTCAGGAGGGTTCAGATTGGATGGTGTCTCCCTGCCTGGGCATAAGCGGATTGGACTGGATGGCCTTTCGGGGGCCCTTTCCAACCTTAGGTTTCTATGACCCTATTTCTCCATCGATCTTCTAATGTTGATGAGGCTGGGTGGCCATCTGTCAGGAGGGTTTTGATGGTGTTTCTCTGAATCCCTTTAGACTCACTTAATGCCCCATATATTCAATGATAGACAGTCAACTCTAAGTTAACAGGCACCCGTGGGGAGTGGTCAATGCTGCATAACTGAGAATCATTTCTGGTTGCTTGAGAGTTCCTATTAAGCCTAATGAATGCAGTCCAAGGCCGTTCAAACTGCATTATAGGGCAGTGTAGAGACTTATAAATGCTACCCAGTGCAATGCAGTGTAGATCCAAGCCTTGGTTTCTTTACGAGGACTAAAAACTGGGCAAAACTGTGATGATTAGGACTCATTCCTTGGTTCAGAAAACTCACCCGACTCGAAGGATGCTCTGGAAGGCCGATCCCAACAAAATCATCCCAAGAATTATTATAAAGGGGGAAAGAAAAGAGAAAAATATTAGTAAGAACTTCCCAATAATAAGAGCTGTTCAGTACAGGAATATACTGCTGTCTGGGAGTCAACTTCTCTGAAGGTTTTTGAGAAGAGTTTCTGAATGGCCATCTGTCGGGAGGGATTGGATGGTGCCTCTCTGCCTGGCAAAATGGGGTTGGACTGGATTGTTTTTGGGAGTCTCTTCAATGGGATTCTATGATTCTATTTATCTATCTATCTGCCCTGAGTCCCCTTGGGGGGAGAGGGCGGAATATAAATAAAGATGATGATGATGATGATGATGATGATGATTATTATTAATTATTATTATTATTTTACTGACACAAAAGCACAGCATGTCACAGCAAACGAGATCTATATGCTGGATTTCGTATCAAAAAATCACACGTCGAACACTTCCCAAGCGTCTAGGACTGTGTGATGAATTATTATTATTATTATTATTATTATTATCATTATTATTATTAAACTGACACAAAAGCACAGTATATCACAGCAAATGAGGTTTAGATGCTGGATTTCGTATCTCAATATCACAAGTTGAACACCTCCCAAGCGTTATTATTATTATTTATTTATTAATTATCATTATTATTATTTGAAACACAACAAGATGAGTCCACAGCAAACAAGACCACTATGCTGGCTGTTGTGTTGGATCACACGTCGGACACTTCCCAAGTGTCTAGGACTGTGTGATGTATCGGTGAATAATGCATGCAGATCCCAATAGGGTGTCCTTTTGCAACAGACAAATGGTCATTTTGCCAGCGACGATTGTGTTCAAGTGCAGGCCAAGGTCTTTAGGCACTGCACCCAGTGTGCCAATCACCACTGGGACCACCTTGACTGGCTTGTGCCAGAGTTCGATCTTTAAATCCTCATATTGTGTCAGCTTTTCCAGTTGTTTCTCTTCAATCCTGTGGTCGCCTGGGATTGCGACATCAATGATCCATACTTGGTTTTTTAATTATTATTATTATTATTATTATTATTATTATTATATCTCATCTCTCATATCTATCTATCCATCGATATCATCTCTCTCTGGGTTGCTGTGAGTTTTCCGGGCTATCTGGCCATGTTCCAAAAGCATTCTCTCCTGACGTTTCGGCCACATCTATGACAGGCATCCTCAGAGGTTGTGAGGTTTGTAGTTCACCCACAAGCAGAGAAACTGAACATCACGACTTCTGAGCATGCCTGCCATAGATGTGGGTGAAACGTCAGGAGAGAATGCTTCTGGAACATGGCCAGACAGCCCAGAAAACTCACAGCAACCCAATGATTCCGGCCATGAAAGCCTTCAACAACTCATCTCTCTATCATATGTATCGTGTCTATCAGCTCTATAATATCTCACTTTCTATCGTCTCTCTCTCTCCTATCTATCACTTCTATCTATCACTTTCTCTCTTATCATCTCTCTCATCTTTCTCTCCCTTCTCTATCAATCATATCTATCAATCTATTATATCTAGAGTATGTCATCTCTATCATATCTGACTTTCTCTCTGTCATATCTATCTATCTCTATCATCTTTCTCTCTATCCTATCTATTTATCTATTTATCATCCCTCTCTCAATGTATCATCTTTCTCTCTAATGTCTATAAATCTTATTTATCAGTCTATCATATCTAGTGTTTCTATCATCTTAATAATAATAATAATTATTATTATTTTATTTATCGTATCAGGGGCAACCAGACAATTGTATTGTCTTCTGGAACATGGCCAGACAGCCCAGAAAACTCACAGCAACCTAGTGTTTCCGGTCATAAAAGCCTTTGACAACACAATAATAATAATAATAATAATAATAATAATTATTATTATTATTATTATTATTATTATTATTATTATATTACAATAATAATAATAATAATAATAATAATAATAATAATAATAATAATAATAATAATAATAATAATTGTGTTGTCAAAGGCTTTTATGGCCAGAATCACTAGGTTGCTGTGAGTTTTCTGGGCTGTCTGGCCGTGTTCCAGAAGCATTCTCTCCTGATGTTTCGCCCACATCTATGGCAGGCATCCAGAGAGATTGTGAGGTTTGTTGGAAACTAAGCAAGTGAGGTTTATATATCTGTGGAATAATGTCCAGGGTGGGGGAAAGAACTCTTGTCTGCTGGAGGCAAGTGGGAATGTTGCAATTGGCCACCTTGATTAGCATTGAATGGCCTAGCAGCTTCAAAGCCTGGCTGCTTCCTGCCTGGGAGAATCCTTTGTTGGGAAGTGTTAGCTGGCCGTGATTGATTCTTGCCTGGAATTCCCCTGCTTTTTGAATGTTGCAATTCTATTTAACCACAAAAATTAACAATTATTTAATACTACCAGTATTAAAAAACCATAGGTTTCTTAAATCCTTGCATGTTATTGTTTATATGTGAGTTATATTAATTGTATTGTTTTTTTATTATTGCTTTTTGTTTTATTGATGTATTGTTGGGCTTGCCCTCATGTAAGTCCCTTGGGGAAATGGTGGCGGGGTATAAATAAAGTATTATTATTATTGTTAATAATAATAATAATAATAATTTGGGATTTGGACTGGATGGCCTTTGGGAGTATCTACCAACTATTGGATCCTATGACTCTATAATAATAATCATCATCATCATCATCTTTATTTGTAGACCGCCCTATCTCCCCAAAGAACTCAGGCCGGTTTCCAACGGAATATTATTCAATGAAGCGTTAGCATAATTACTCTGCATCCATATATCAATGCATAAAGCTTGTTTTCAGGCCCGTGCTCAGAGGCACTCCTTCCCGTTGGGCTCCTTGGGGGAATGTTAGAAGGTTAGGAGCAACACAGTAGGAATATGGGTTTCTCTCCTTCTCTTGAAGTTTTCAATCTAAGCTGGATGGGGTTGGACTGGATGGCCTTTGGGGTCCCCTCCAACCCTAGGATTCTTTGATTCTATTTCCCCATGAAGTTGCTAATATCTATGAGGCTGGATGGCCCTCTGTCAGGAGGGCTTTGATGCTGTCTTGGGGTTGGATTGGATGGCCTTTGGGGGACTCTTCCAACCCTAGGATTCTTTGATCCTATTTCCATCTGAAGTTGCTAATGTCTATGAGAATGGATTGTCCTCTGTAGGGAGGGATTTAATGGTGTATTGGGGTTGGACTGCATATCTCTTCCAACCCTAGGATTCTTTGATCTTATTTCCATGTGAAGTTGCTAATGTCTATGAGTCTTGAAGGTCCTCTGTTGGGAGGGATTTAATGGTGTCTTGGCACAATGGGGCTGGACTGGATGGCCTTTCAGGTCCCATCCAACCCTAGGATTCTTTGATCCTATTTCCATCTGAAGTTGCTAATATCAATGAGAATGGACGGTCCTCTGTCAGGAGGGATTTAATGGTGTCTTGGGGTTGGACTGCATGGCTTTTGGGGATCTCTTCCAACCCTAGGATTCTTTGACCCTATTTCCATGTGAAGTTGCGAATGTCTATGAGTCTGGAAGGTCCTCTGTCGGGAGGGATTTAATGGTGTCTTGGCACAATGGGGCTGGACTGGATGGCCTTTCAGGTCCAATCCAAGCCTAGGATTCTTTGATCTTATTTCCATCTGAAGTTGCTAATATCTATGAGAATGGACGGTCCTCTGTCGGGAGGGATTTAATGGTGTCTTGGCACAATGGGGCTGGACTGGATAGCCTTTCAGGTCCCATCCAACCCTAGGATTCTTTGATCCTATTTCCATCTGAAGTTGCTAATGTCTATGAGAATGTACGGTCCTCTGTCGGGAGGGATTTAATGGTGTCTTGGGGTTAGACTGCATGGCTTTTGGGGATCTCTTCCAACCCTAGGATTCTTTGACCCTATTTCCATGTGAAGTTGTGAATGTCTATGAGTCTGGAAGGAGGTGTTGGATGGTGTCTGGCAGAAGGGGGTTAGACTGGATGACCTTTGGGGGATCCCTTCCAACTGTAGGATCCTATGAGGGGAGCTCACCTCGGTGATTCTCAGCATCCGGCAGCCCTCTTTCGTCCTTGGCCCCAATGGCCGCCTGAGCCGTCAAAACCCCAGAGAGCGCCAGAAGCCCCGAAGCAGACCCCGAAGGATGTGGGGCCAAAGGGATTGGTGGGGCGTGATGGGAGAGGTGTTGGAGCTGCTGCTGCTGGAGAGAAAGGAGACCCCACAAATCATGGAAGCCGGTGGGTCCGAGCCACTGCCATCGCTACAGAGCCCATAGGCTGTGTCTACACCATCTATATATTTTTGCTGGTTACTTGAGAGTTCCAGTTAACTGAGAGTCTACTGTAGACATAACTAAGCCACTCAGAACCAATTCAGCCCTTAACTCTCCATTGAATTACACTCAACGGTACAGTCAACTCTCAGTTAACCAGATCTCTCAAGCAACTGGAAGAAATTCAAATAGAAATATTTTAAATGTTTAATAAGACACTCACCCCAATAATATTGTTCAGTTCCCCCATAGTGACCTGCTTGGCCCGATCCATTGCTTGCAGGACTTGCTGCTGGTGCTGAAAAGGGAAAGGAAGACTGAGAAATCGGATCCTGATGATAAAAAATATCAGTCATATTGATTATATTAATAATATTAATAATATTAATAATAATAATAATAATCATCATCATCATCATCATCATCATCATCTTGCCTAGAGCTGGCTAACTATTATTATTATTGGCAGTTGTAGGCATATTAGTATTTTATTATTATTATTATTAATAATAATAATAATAGCTCATTACATTGGCAAATTCTTTTACCTCTTGGGTCAGGAAGGGGATAATCTGGGCACAAATGGCACTCAACCGCTTGACGATCTCAGCCTAAATGAGAAGGAAAAGACAAAGGGGAAACAGCCACATTAGAGGCTAGTCAAGGCAGAAGTCAATGCAGGAAGACACCATCCAAGCCCTCCCGACAGATGGCCATCCAGTACATCCCCCTTATTATGCAGGAAGACACCTTGCAAATCCTCCCAACAGATGGCCATCCTATCCAATCTCTATTATGTAGGAAGACACCATGAAAACCCTCCAGACAGATGGTCATCCCGTCCAACCTCCTTATTATGCAGGAAAACATCATGCAAACCCTCCTGATAGATGGCTATCACGTCCAACCCACTTATGCAGGAAGACACCATCCAAACCCTTCCAATAGATGGCCATCCTGTCCAACCTCCTTATTATACAGAAAGACACCATGCAAACCCTCCCAACAGATGGCCATCCTAGTCAACCTCCTTATTATACAGGAAGACACCATGCAAACTCTCCCGACAGATGGCTATCCCGTCCAACCTCCTTATTATACAGGAAGACACCATGCAAACCCTCCTGACAAATGGCTATCTCGTCCAACCCACTTATGCAGGAAGACACCATCCAAACCTTTCCAATAGATGGCCATACTGTCCAACCTCTTTATTATACAGAAAGACACCATGCAAACCCTCCCAACAGATGGCCATCCTATCGAACCTCCTTATTATACAGGAAGACACCATGCAAACCCACCCAACAGATGGCCATCCTATCCAACCTCCTTATTATGCAGGAAGACACCATGAAAACCCTCCAGACAGATGGCTATCCCGTCCAACCTCATTATGCAGGAAGACACCATCCAAACCCTCCTGACAGATGGCCATTTCATCCAACCCCCTTATTAGGCAGGACGACACCATGCAAACCCTCCCAACAGATGGCCATCCTATCGAACCTCCTTCTTATATAGGAAGACACCATGCAAACTCTCCCGACAGATGGCTATCCTGTCCAACCTCATTATGCAAGAAGACACCATCCAAACCCTCCTGACAGATGGCCATCTCATCCAACCCCCTTATTAGGCAGGACGACACCATCCAAACCCTCCTGACAGATGGCCATCCAGTCCAACCCCCGTATTGTACAGGAAGACACAATCCAAACAGATGTGGTGGCTCCTCTTTGAATCCGCAATGACGCTAATAACAAGACTAATAACAACAGGATGCTAATAATAATCATAACGGCAGCCAGGAAGTTAAGAAGCGGCTCTCAGAGAGAGAGAGAGAGAGAGAGAGAGAGAGAGAGAGAGAGAGAGGTGTCTCCATCTGCGGAAAGAGAGGAAGGATGCAGAGCCAGAGAAAGGAGGGAGCTGGCAAAGGGAAGGCAGCTGGGAGAGAGGAGGATGCCAGCCGCTTTGCCACTTTGTCGGGAAGCCTGCCAAGCTAATATCCCTGGCAGGCGGTCCCCGGATGCCTTAAAAGCCAGAGACGGGAAGCCAAAGGCCGCTGGGACAAAAAGCGGATTTCACTTAAGAGACTAAAAGGAACCCCATCAGAATCAAGGCACTGGGTTAGGAAACCCTCAAGATGGACCAGAGTGATGCTGCAGCTAAAAAGGCCAACACAATGCTAGGCATCGGGATGATTAACTTTGGAGTTTCACCTCTCCGTATGGGTTTTTATTTGTTTTTAATCTCCTAAGTGAATTCCATCCTCCAAGGAGGGTAAGCCATTGGAAGGGACCTTAGAGGCCATCTAGTCCAACCCTATTCTGCTATGGAAGACACTACTAAAGCCCATCTAGCCTCTCTTTGATGACTTCTGCTATCTTCCAAGGCAATCCGTCTCACAGTGGCAGTCAATACGTTTTTTGTAATATTTCAGTGGGATCCCTTTTATTGTAATTGGGGATCCAAATTCATTCCACAAATGAATGGTACTTGTAGTCACGAAGCAGCTCTTCCGAATGTTTACATGGGACACCCTTGAAAACAAGCCCTTTCTTCTCTATGGGACATCGATTAAAGGCCTGGCTTGAAAATAACAATATCTTCTATACACATAATCAAAGTGAAGATATGTATGTGTGTATGTGTCCACTGGAGTGTCCACTTACACAAACAAGCTCCCACTTTCACAAACAGCTATAGCTCCCACACCTCAGGAGACACCAAAGGCCCTCCCTCCAATGACATTGCAGGTTATAGCGAGAGCCGTAAACATGTCCAATGTCCTCCACAAACACCAGAACTCACAATCTCTGAGAATGCCTGCTATAGATGCAGGCGAAACATCAGGAGAGAATGCTTCTGGAACATGGCCATACAGCCCGGAAAACTTACAACAACCCAAACACCACACTGCCCACCACCCAAGTGAAGGTTTTCATGCGGGGACCGTTTCGTCCTAGATTTTATATGATTCCTCCACCACAGACATCCCAGTGTTTCTTACTCTCTCCATTGGTGTGGAATTTGCATGACCCCGCCCACTGCCTCTCCCTTAACCCTTTCCTATTCTTTTCTATGGCACGCAGAGGAATTGATCAGCAACTGAACATATTAGGGAGGTTTGGGGAGAATTCACCATGATTTATTGGAGTTGTAGGTCCAGGGATGTATAGTTCACCTGCAATCGAAGATCACTCTGAACCCCACCAACGATGGTCTTGGAGCTAACTTGGCTCACAGCACCCCCATGACCAAGAAAAACATAGTGGAGGTATTTGGAGGGGTTTATAGGAGTTGTAGTTCACCTACATCCAGAGCGCACTATGAACCCAAACAATAATGGATCTGGACCAAAACTTGCCATGCATACCCGATATGCCCAAATTTGAATACTGGTGGGTTTTGAGGGGAATTGCCCTGGTTATTTTAGAGTTAGAGGTATTGGGATTTATAGTTCACCTGCAATCAATGAGCATTCTGAACTCCACCAAAGAGGGAATTGGACCAAACTTGGCACATAGAGCCCCCATGACTAGCAACCCCCCCCCAACCCCCCCCCCCCCCGAAGAAATTCACCTTGATTTGGGGAGTTGTAGTCCACCTACATTCAGAGCACTGTGAACCCAAATACCGATGGATCTAGACCAAACTTGGCACACATACCTGATATGCTGAAATTTGAATACTGGAGGGGTTTGGGAGAGATTAACCTTGATTTTTAGGAGTTGTAGTTCACGATGGATCTGGATCAAACTTGGCACACAGTACCACCATGACCAACTGAACCTACTGGAGCGGTTTGAGGGGACTGACCCACCATGTGAGAGCTGTAGTTCATCCTTCAGCCAGAGATCCCACGGATCCCACTGATAATGCATCTAGAGAGCAGACTTGCCCAACATGACAAACTTTAAGCAATGATGGAGTTTCTCAGGTTAACCTGGCATGATGTGAGTTGTAGTTCACCCACAACCTTATGCATTTTGTAAAATTCAAAAAAGACTTTTTCAAATGACCCGGGCAACACTGGGTACCCAAGCAAGTTATTAATAATAGTATAATAATATTATTAATATTAATAATATTAATAATATTTATAATATTAGGAAAATGTGGCCATTTCATAGGAATGTCTGTGTCTATCCATCATCTAAAGGCACTCTACACATGCCTAGGGACACTACGCTCTCCATATTTCAATCCCAAAGAGTCAAGCCATATAATAGAGACTCTGGAAGTCCTTGCCACAAGATGGGCATTGACCTCCATGCTCTTAGAAAGAGGCTGGGCAAATCCATAAGGCAAAGAAGGCTACAATATTAAGGGAATTTAAAGGTCTTAATGCTGTCCATTCAACTCCTTTTATAACCATTCTCCCCTCTCTCAAACCAATAGGGGAAAAAGTCACCTACCTGTTTGTGCATCTCGATATTTAATCCATAAGACATCTCATAATACTGCAAAGTGGGATAGAAATGAATGCAGATTAGGATGAATGAACACCAAAAGAAATGTTTGCTTATTATTATTATTATTATTATTATTATCATCATCATCATTATTATCATCCTCCTTTTATCCTATAAACAAGACGCAAAGCCGACCCAAGCATTAAAACTACTATAATAATATAACAATAGTATATAAATAGTAATTTATAAATAGTAATTTATAAATAGTAATTTATAATAACAAAAATTATTATTATTATTGTTATTAATAAATTACTATTATTGCTGTTGTTGTTATAAATTACTATTTTATTATAGATTATTATTATAAATTACTATAATAATACATTACTATAATTATTATAAATTACTATTATTGTTATAGTTATTTATAGAAATGTTTGCTCATTATCATCATCATCCTGCCTTTATCCCTTTATCAAGTCACAAAGCACTACAATTTAAAATTAATACTAATAATATAATAGCAATTTTAACAATAATAGTAATTTATCATAACAACCATTTATCGTTATTAATAATAAATTACTATTTTTGTTATAAATTCCTTTTTTATTATAAATTATTACTATAAATTACCATAATAACGAATTACTAAAATTATTATACATTCCTATTTTTATTATAAATTATTATTACTATAAATTACTATACGTATTATAAATTACCATTTTTATTATAAATTATTATTATTACTATAAATTATTATAATTATTATAAATTAGCATTTTATTATAAATTATTATTACTATAAATTACTATACTTATTATAAATTACAATTTTTATTATAAATTATTATTACTATAAATTATTATAATTATTATAAATTACAATTTTATTATAAATTATTATTACTATAAATTACTATAATATAAATCACCATTTTTATTATAAATTATTATTACTATAAATTACTATAATTATTATAAATTACCATTTTATTATAAATAATTATTCCTATAATAATAAATTATTATTAGTAGTAGTATTATTATTATATTGTTACAGATTTTGTAAAAATTAAAAATCTAGACCAAAAGACTTCAACTCTCATTGATGCTCCTATTCTTTTACTTGCACCAAGCAGCACAAAAATCAAATTCCATACCTATCATCACCCTGAATCCTCTGCCTTTTCCTTGCAATTAAGTTACATTCCTTACCATCACGTAATGCCTTTGCATTTCGGTCTTTTCACTGGCCAGCTTTTCGCATTCCAGCTTCAGGCTGCAAAAAGAAAAGGGAGAATAATTGTAAACGTTGGAAGGCTGGACAAGGGTAGAACTATCGACCCTTGGGATTTATAGTTTGCATTTTGGGGGAAGAGAAGGGGAAATGGTTTGCCGAATGACAAGACCGTCCGCCTTTGTGGAACTACCACTCCCAGGATCCCAAGTGGTATCAAACTGCATTAAATCTACAGTGCAGATGCACCTGAGAGCCGCGAACCCCCCTCGTCGTCCACAAAGCCCTACATACCTGTGATACTGTGCTTGGAGGAACTGGAATTCTTCCTTGATCCGGTCACAGATTTCCAACACGGAGAATTTGAACGGCTGCCCCGACTGAGAAGAGATGAATCAAATACCCGACTGTTACGTTGACATTCAGAGTACTCCCCTGGCTCTACACTACCATATAATGCAGATAAGAGAGGCTGCAGCACTTTGTTTTTGCCTATAAGGCAGTGTTTCTCAACCTGGTGGTCGGGACCCCCGTGGGGGTCGCGAGGGGGTGTCAGAGGAGTCGCCAAAGACCATCAGAAAGCATAATATTTTCTGTTAGTCATGGGGGTTCTTTGTTGAAAGTTTGGTCCAATTCTATTGGTGGGGTTCAAAATGCTATTTCATTGTGGGTGAACTATAAATCCCAACAATTACAACTCCCAAATGGCAAGGTCTATTTTCTCCAAACTCTACCAGTGTTCACATTTGGGCATATTGAGTATTTGTGCCAAGTTTGATCCAGATCCATCATTGCTTGAGTCCACAGTGTTCTCTGGAAGTAGGTGAACTACAACTCCAAAAAACTCAAGGTCAATGTCCACCAGACCTTCCCAGTATTTTCTCTTGGTCATGGGAATTTTGTGTGCCATGTTTGATTCAATTCCATCATTGATGGAGTCCAGAAGGCTCTTTGATTTTAGGTGAACTATAAATCCCAGCAATTACAACTCCCAAATGACAAAATCAATCACCCCCCAACCTCACCAGTATTCAAATTTGGGCGTATTGGGTATTTGTGCCAAATTTGGTCCAGTGACTGAAAATACATCCTGCATATCAGATATTTAGATTATGATTCATAACAGAAGCAAAATTACAGTTGTGAAGTAGAAACGAAAATAACATTATAGTTGGGGGTCACCACAACATGAGGACCTGTACTAAGGGGTCGCGGCATTAGGAAGGTTGAGAACCACTGCTATAAGGGGTCTAGGGGTCTTAATGGACTCCAAGCTGATTGTGAGACAATGGTGTGATGCAGCAGCAGAAAAGGCCAACACGATTCTAGGCTGCATCAACAGTATAGTGTCTGGCTCAATAGAACAATTGCATTCCTATACAACTCTTGCATCCATTGAAGGAACACAATCCCTATTCCTCCCAGGCTGAGCAACCCGCAATTGTGATTGTAAAGTTTGCATTGCTAACATGGGTTTAGACATACATCAGTACAGACTCTTAGTTCACCGGAATTCAAGATCTGGGACTCTCAAGCATCCAGCAAAATAAATCAGTTCAAGGAAGACTTATATATACATACACACACAGAGAGAGAGGTATATAAACATACAGTAGACTCTCAGTTAACTGGAATACAAGAACCAGGACTCTCAAGCATCCAGCAAAACAAATCAGTCCAAGGAAGACTTACTTGAATAAATGAATAAAAATAATACTAATAGAAGAGTAAAATAATAAATAACTTTGACTCAAGTATAAGCCTAGTTTTTCAGCCCCTTTTTTAGGCTGAAAAAAATCCCCTCGGCTTATACTCGAGTCAAGGTTATTTATTATTTTACTCTGCTATTGGTATTATTTTTATTCATAGAATCATAGAATCAAAGAGTTGGAAGAGACCTCATGGGCCATCCAGTCCAATCCCCTGCCAAGAAGCAGGAATATTGCATTCAAATCACCCCTGACAGATGGCCATCGAGCCTCTGTTTAAAAGCTTCCAAAGAAGGAGCCTCCACCACACTTCGGGGCAGAGAGTTCCATTCATTTATTATTTTACTCTATTATTATTATTATTATTATTATTATTATTATTATTACATTTACATTATTTTACTCTATTATTACAGAGCCCCCAGTGGCGCAGTGGGTTAAACCCCTGTGCCGGCAGGACTGAAGACCGACAGGTCACATGTTCGAATCTGGGGGGAGGCGGATGAGCTCCCTCTATCAGCTCCAGCTCCTCGTGCGGGGACATGAGAGAAGCCTCCCACAAGGATCCTCCCACATCTCCTCCAATGAACCAGCTAGGACATTAAGATCATCTGGGGAGGCTCTGCTCTTGGTCCCACCGGCATCACAGGCATGCCTGGCGGGGACGAGAGACAGGGCCTTCTCAGTGGTGGCCCCTCGGCTGTGGAATGCCCTGCCTGCAGATATCAGATCGGCCCCCTCCTTATTGGTATTTCGGAGGAAAGTGAAGACCTGGATGTTCGAACAGGCATTCGATTAGGCAGTGTAATTGATTATAGGAACACGGAATAACGGATGATGAGATTGGATTCTGAGTCTATTGATGAGACGTGAATGATTTGTCATATTGATGTTTAATTGTTGTTATGCTATTGTTTCTAAATGCTCCAATGGTTTTGCAATGTGTGTATTGAAATTGCTATTGTTAACCGCTTTGAGTCGCCTAAGGGCTGAGAAAAGCGGTATATAAATGAAGTAAATAAATAAATAAAACATCAAATCATCCGGGCGTCCCTTGGGCAACGTCCTTGCAGACGGCCAATTCTCTCACACCAGAAGCGACTTGCAGTTTCTCAGGTTGCTCCTGACACGAAAAAAAACCCAAACTCTATTATTATTACATTTACATTCTTTTACTGTATTATTATATTTATTGCATTTATTATTGTACTCTATTATTGCTAGTATTGCATTTATTACTTTATTATTATTACTATTATGATTAAATTTCCATTATTTACTCTATTCTTCTTTTGATTACATGTTATTACATGTTATTATTTTATTCTCTCATTATAGGTAATAGATAAGCAAGTACATTTACATTGAAGGAGGTTAGAATAATGGTTGAATCAGAATTGGACAGTCTTATCTTAAATTACAGTTTTGTGTAAATACTCAAAAACATTGAATCTGCTGACGATTACCAGTAGCAGCTACATTTCTCACCCTCGGCTTATACTCGAGTCAATACGCTTTTCCAGTTTTTGGTGGTAAAATTAGGTCCCTCGGCTTATATCTGGGTCGGCTTATACTCGAGTATATACGGTATATATACACACACAGCGGTATATAAACATACAGTAGACTCTCACTTACATGGAACCAGAACTCTCAAACAAAATACATCTATCTATCTATCTATCTATCTATCTATCTATCTATCTATCTATCTATCTACACACATAATAAAAGTGAAAATATGTATGTGTGCGTGGCTGGGGTGTCCGCTTACACAAACAGGCTCCCACTTCCACAAACAGCTATAGATCCCACTACTTAGACGACACCAATGGCCCTCCCGCCAATGACACTGCAGGTTTATGGTGAGCGACGTAAACATGGTGAGCGACGTAAACATGTCCAAGAACCCTGCCAATGTCCTCCACAAACACAATACCATCCAAGTGAAGGCTTTCATACGGGGACAATTTCATCCTAGATTGCATGTGTTTCTTCCAATACAGATATCCCAGTGTTTCTTACTTCTCCATTGGTGTGATATTTGGCTACCCCACCAACTGCCTCTCCCTTAGCCATTTCCTATTCCTTTCTATGGCACACAGCAAACAGAGGAATTGATCAGCAACTGAACATACTAGAGAGATTTGGGGATAATTCACCATGATTTATAGGAGTTGTAGGTACTGGGATGTATAGTTCACCTGTAATCTAACAATTGCACTCTGAAGTCCACCAACAATGAACCTGGAACTAACTTGGCACACAGAATCCTCATGACCAAGAAAAAAACACTGGAGGTCTTGGGAAGAATTCACAGTAATTTATAGGAGTTGTAGGTCCCAGGATATATAGTCCATCTGCAGTCTAAGAGCACTCTGAACTCCACCAATGATGGACGTGGAACTAACTTGGCACACAGACCAACAAAAAAATACTAGAGGTCTTTGGAAGGATTTAGAGGAGTTGTAGTTCACCTACATCCAGAGCGCACTATGAACCCAAACAAGGATAGATCTGGACTCAACTTGGCATGCATCCCCAATATGCCCAAATTTGTATACTGGTGGGTTTTGAGGGGAATTGACCTGGACAATTTGGAGTTGTGGGTACTGGGATTTATAGTTCACCTGCAACCAAGGAGCACTCTGAACTCAACCAGTTTTTGGGGGTTTTTTTGTCGTGTCAGGAGCGACCTGAGAAACTGCAAGTCACTTCTGGTGTGAGAGAATTGGCCGTCTGCAAGGACGTTGCCCAGCGGACGCCCGGATGATTTGATGTTTTTATCATCCTTGTGGGAGGCTTCTCTCATGTCCCCGCATGAGGAGCTGGAGCTGATAGAGGGAGCTCATCCGCCTCTCCCCGGATTCGAACCTGCAACCTGTCCTGCCAGCACAGGGGTTTAACCCACTGCGCCACCGGGGGCCCAACTCAACCAATTATTGAATTTGACCAAACTTGGCACACAACCAGAGAAATAGTGGCCTCCACTGATGATGGACCTGGACCAAACTTGGCACACAGAACCCCTATGATCAGCAAAAATAAAAATAAAAATACTGGAGGTCTTTGGGGAAAATTCACTTTGATTTGGGGGAGTTGTAGTTCACCTACATCCAGAGAGAACTGTGAGTCCAAACACCGATGGATCTGGACCAAACTTGGCACACAGACCTGATATGGCAAAATTTGATTACTGGAGGGGTTTGGGGGGAGTGAACTTTCTTTCTGGGAATTGTAGTCCACCCACAACCAGATAAATAGTGGCCTCCACTGATGATGGACCTGGACCAAACTTGGCACACAGAACCGCTATGACCAGCATATATATATATATATATATATATATATATATATATATATATATACACACACACACACACACATATATACACACACTGGAGGTCTTGGGGAAAATTCACTTTGATTTGGGGGAGTTGTAGTTCACCTGCATCCAGAGAGAACCATGAACCCAAACACCAATGGATCTGGACCAAACCTGGCACACAGACCTGATATGGCAAAATTTGATTACTGGGGGGGGGGGGGTGTGGGAAACTGACCTTCTTTCCTGGGAGTTGTAGTTCACCCACAACCAGATAAATAGTGGCCTCCACTGATGATGGACCTGGACCAAACTTGGCACACAGAACCCCCAATGATTAACTCAGCCTACTGGAAGAGTTTGAGGGGGTTCACTCGTCATAGTGGGAGTTGTAGTTTACCCTACAGCCAGAGAGCACACTGAACCTCGCCGATGATGCGTCTAGAGCAAACTTGTCCAACATAACATACTTTAAGTACTGATGGAGTTTCTTGGGGTTGACTTGGCATGATGTGAGTCGTAGTTCACCCACAACCTTATGCATTTTGTACAATTAAAAAAACTGACTTTTTCAAATAACCCGGGCAACGCCAGGAACCCAAGCTAGTAACATAATAAAATATTTTTTTTTCATACTGTTTTGACATGAAATTCAGCGTGGCTTTGTCTTCATTTGCTTTGCGTGGCTGTGTTTCCATATTAATATCAGGGCAATACAGAGTTGATCCAGAGTACGGCATAGTGTTAATTAGGCCTATTGTTAATAGTAATAATAGTAATAATAAAAATTAATAATAATAATAAATCTCAAATAAGAAGAAACTGTGTTTATCCGGCATCCAATCCCCATCAGTGATAGTTAACTGAGAGCCTCCTGAATACATCTATACATACGCACAAGACATACACATATATATACACATATATATAGATTAGAGCCCTATGCACAAAAAGGGATAACTGGGTTTATATTTGAAGACTTTGAAGACATCGAAGTGGAAGCAAAATCCAGTCATGTATTCCATCCTGATTCCAATCTGGGAAAAGCAAGCTTCTCAAAAAGAGAGACCCAGGAAAAAAAATAATACAAAAGGAAAGAAAAAAAATACAAATAAAAGGAAAATACTTACAGTGTGCCTTCCTTGTGGGAACATCTTGGGGAGGATGGAGACTTGAGGTCCTCTGTCTTGAATGATTATCATCCACAGGAGACAACTCTCATTTTATATATATCTCTCTTTTTTTGGATTGCAAAACAATTAAAAAGAAATCCAGAACTGGCAGGTTTGGGCTGATCAATACATCTCTATCTATCTATCTATCTATCTATCTATCTATCTATCTATCTATCTATCTATCTATCTAATCTAATCTATCTGTGCAGAGGTGAGCCCTACCTTTTTGCAAAAGCAATGGGGCTCTTCTGCATGTATGGATGTGTGGGTCTGTCTAGCTCGAAATAGGACACTTTGCAAGGAAATAAAGGAAAGGAATGAAATGCAAAAGGAGGCGAGGGTTTCTTCTTTTGGGTGGAAGCAGGAACAGAAGGTCAGCCCCAAACCTGGCTGGGTTTCAACAGCTTGTCCCTCGCCTGGAATCAGAGCTGCCTATTGGCAACCCAGAGGGAGAACCACCACACTGGAGCCTTAAGGTGGAACAGCATTGCTTCCAAAGGACAAGGAGATGGGCGTACAATCCAGCCCCTTGCTGCCATGAAGGAAGGCACCATCCAATCCCTCCCAACAGACGGCCATCCAGTCCAAAACTCTTCTGCCGTTAAGAAAGGCACCGTCCAATTCCTCCCGACAGATGGCCATCCAATCCAAAACTCTTCTGCCATGAAGGAAGGCACCGTCCAATCCCTCCTGACAGATGGCCGTCCAGTCCGACCCCCTTCTGCCATGAAGGAAGGCACCATCCAATCCCAACCGACAAATGGCCATCCAGTCTGACCCCCTCCTGCCATGAAGGAAGGCACCATGCAATCCCTCCCAACAGATGGCCTTTCAGTTTGACCCCCTTCTGCCATTCAGAAAGGTACCATCCAATCCCGACCGACAGGTGGCCATCCAGTCCGACCTCCTTCTGCCATTAAGGAAGGCACCGTCCAATCCCTCCTGACAAATGGCCATCCAGTTCAACCTCCTTCTGCCATTAAGGAAGGCACCATCCAATCCCTCCCAACAGATGGTCTTACAGTCTGACCCCTTCTGCCATGAAGGAAGGCAACATGCAATCCCTCCCGACAGATGGCCTTCCAGTCTGACCCCCTTCTGCCATTAAGGAAGGCGCCATCCAATCCCTCCCAACAGATGGCCTTCCAGTCTGACCCCCTTCTGCCATTAAGGAAGGTACCATCCAATCCCGACTGACAGGTGGCCATCCAATCTGACCTCCTTCTGTCATTAAGGAAGGCACCATGCAATCCCTCCCAAGAGATGGCCTTTCAGTCTGACCCCCTTCTGCCATGAAGGAAGGTACCATCCAATCCTGACCGACAGGTGGCCATCCAGTCCGACCTCCTTCTGCCATTAAGGAAGGCACCATCCAATTCCTCCCGACAGATGGACTTCCAGTCCGAACCCATTGTGGCCGTCGAGGCTTGGATCCATTTAGAGAAGCCAGGTACCATCTCTTTACCTATAGGGTTCTGCCTTTCCCTTGCTGCATTATCCCCTAATGGAGCATTTTTGCCATTGCTTTTGCAGTGGCCCCACCATTTCCTTATTCTTCCCTTTGCTACAAACCCAACAGCAACAACTTCCAACTTTTTTTTGCCAGTTTCCAATCTCCTCTACTTGGGAATGGTCCTGGAACGTGTGGTGGCCTCACAAGTCCAGGTGTTCTTGGAGGAAACTTATTATCTGGATACAGCACAGTCTGGCTTTAGGCTGGGACATGGAACTGAAACAGCCTTGCTGTCCTTAGTGGATGATCTATGCAGGGAACTGGACAGGGGGAGTGTGTCCCTGTTGGGTCTCTTGGACCTCTCAGCGGCCTTTCATACAGTAGACCACAGTATCCTTCTGGGATGCCTCACGGTCTTGGAGGTACTGTGTTGAAGTGGCTCTAGTCCTTCCTGGAGGGCCGTTCTCAGAAGGCACAAATAAAGAGAGATATTGACAAGCTGGAATGTGCCCAGAGGAAGGCGGCTAAAATGATCAGGGCTCTGGAGAACAAGCCCTATGAGGAGTGGCTTAAAGAGCTGGGCATGTTTAGCCTGAAGAAGAGAAGGCTGAGAGGAGATATGATAGCCATGTATAAATATGTGAGGGGAAGTCATAGGGAGGAGGGAGCAAGCTTGTTTACTGCTGCCCTGGAGACTAGGACGCAGAACAATGGCTTCAAACCACAAGAGAGGAGATTCCATCTGAACCTGAGGAAGAACTTCCTGACTGTGAGAGCTGTTCAGCAGTGGAACTCTCTGCCCCGGAGTGTGGTGGAGGCTCCTTATTTATTTATTTACTGCATTTCTATACTGCTTTTCTCACCCCTAGGGGGACTCAGCCTTCTTTGGAGGCTTTTAAACAGAGGCTGGATGGTCATCTGTTGGGGGTGCTTTGAATGCAATTTTCCTGCTTCACAGCAGGGGGTTGGACTGGATGGCCCATGAGGTCTCTTCCAACTGTAGGATTCTATGATTCTAAATACCCAATAAGTCCAACATTGGTGGAGTCTGGGGAAAATAGACCTTGACATTTGGGAGTTGTAGTTGCTGAGATTTATAGTTCACCTGCAATTAAAGAGTATTCTGAGAATTGGGCCAAACATCCCACACAGAACGCTCATGTCCAATAGAAAATACTGTGTTTTCTGATGACGTTTGGTGACCCTCTGACACCACCTCATGACCCCCCCCCCCCAAGGGTCCCGGCCCCCAGGCTGAGAAACACTGGTGTACATGAAGCTGCTGGGAGAGATCATCCAGAGTTTTGGAGTTCGATGCCATCTGTATGCAGATGATGTCCAATTCTATCACTCCTTTCCACCTGCTGCGAAGGAGGCTGTCCAGGTCCTGAACTGGTGCTTGGCAGCTGTGAAGGTCTGGATGAGGGCAAACCAATTGAAACTGGATCCAGACGAGACAGAGGTACTCCTGGTCATTCGTAATGCCAAACAGGGACTAGGGTTACAGCCTGTGCTGGACGGGGTTAGACTCCCCCTGAAGACACAGGTTCGTAGCTTGGGAGTTCTGGATTTGTCGCTGAGCCTGGAATCCCAGGTCTCGTGGTGGCCAGGGGAGCATTTGCACAATTAGAACTTGTGCGTCAGTTGCACCCGTACCTTGAGAAGCCAGACTTGGCCACGGTAGTCCATGCTCTTATTACATCAAGAATAAGCTACGACAATGCACTCTACGTGGGGCTGCCTTTGGAGACTGTTCGGAAGCTTCAAGTAGTCCAACGGGCGGCAGCTAGATTGCTCACCAGTGTGGCATACAGAGAAATGACATCCCTCCTGTTGTGTCAGCTCCACGGGCTGCCAGTCTGCTACAGAGCACAATTCAAAGTGCTGGTTTAGCTTATAAAGCCCTAAACCAGTTTTTCTCAACCTGAAGCTCGGGACCCCTGGGGGGGGGGGGGGGTTGCGAGGAGGATTTGGGAGGAGTCGCCAAAGACCACCAGAAAACACATATTTCTGATGGTCTTATTAACTCTTTTGGCAGAGAAGACTGAAGATTTTTCTGCCTGTGCTTCTCTTCCTTTTTGGTGTTGGTGAACTATAACTCCCAGAATTCAAAAATAGTCCTCCCCCACCCCACCAGTATTCAATATTGGCCATGTAGGTAGTGTGCTCTTTGATTGTAGGTTAACTATAAATCCCAGCAACGACAACTCCCAAATGTCAAGGTCTATTTTACCCAAACACCACCAGTGTTCACATTTGGACATATTGAGTATTAGTGCCAAGTTTGGTCCTGATCCATCATTGTTTGAGTCCACAGTGCTCTCTGGATGTAGGTGAACTACAACTCCCAAACTCAAGGTCAATGCCAACCAAACCCTTCCAGTATTTTCTGTTGATCATGGGAGTTCTGTGTGCCAAGTTTGGTTCAATTCCATTGTTGATGGAATTCAGAATGCTCTTTGATTGTAGGTGAACTATAAATCCCAGTAACTACAACTCCCAAATGTCAAGGTCTATTTTACCCAAACTCCACCAGTGTTCACATTTGGACATATTGAGTATTCGTGCCAAGTTTGGTCCTGATCCATCATTGTTTGAGTCCACAGTGCTCTCTGGATGTAAGTGAACTACAACTCCAAAACACAAGGTCAATGCCAGCCAAACTCTTCCAATATTTTCTGTTGCTCATGGGAATTCTGTGTGCCAAGTTTGGTTCAATTCCATCGTTGGTGGAGTTCAGAATGCTCTTTGATTGTGGGTGAACTATAAATCCCAGCAACTCCCAAATGGCAAAATCAACCCCCCTAAACCCCACCAGTATTCAAATTTTGGCATATGTATTGGGTATTTGTGCCAAATTTGGTCCAGTGAATGAAAATACATCCTGCGAATCAGATATTTATATTACAATTTATAACAATAGTAAACTTACAATTATGAAGTAGCAACGAAAATAATGTTATGGTTTAGGGTCACCACAGCATGAGGAACTATATTAAGGTGTCTCAGCATTAGGAAGGACTAATCCTGGACTCATTGCTCAGCCTGGAACTCCAAGTTTTGGCGGCGACCAGGGGAATCTTCGCACAATTAAAACTTGTGTGCCAGTTGCGTCTTATTTTGGGAAGTCAGACTTGGCCATGGTAGTCCCCACTCTTGTTACATCTCAAATAGACTACTGCAGCACACTCTATGTGGGGCTGCCTTTGGAGACTGTTCAGAAGCTTTGAGTAGTCCAATGGGCAGCAACTAGATTCCTCACCGGAGTGGTGTACAGAGAGAGGACATCCCTCCTTGGACATTCCGCCTTGGCTAGACCACACCTGGAATATTGTGTCCAATTCTGGGCACCACAATTGAAGAGAGATGTTGACAAGCTGGAATGTGTCCAGAGGAGGGCGACTACAATGATCAAGGGTCTGGAGAACAAGCCCTATGAGGAGTGGCTTAAGGAGCTGGGCATGTTTAGCCTGAAGAAGAGAAGGCTGAGAGGAGATATGATAGCCATGTATAAATATGTGAAAGGAAGTCATAGGGAGGAGGGAACAAACTTGTTTTCTGCTTCCCTGGAGACTAGGACGCGGAACAATGGCTTCAAACTACAAGAAAGGAGATTCCATCTGAACATGAGGAAGAACTACCTAACTGTGAACCGTTCAGCAGTGGAACTCTCTGCCCCGGAGTTTGGTGGAGGCTCCTTCTTTGGAGGTTTTTAAACAGAGGCTAGATGGCCATCTGTCGGGGGTGATTTGAATGCAATATTCCTGCTTCTTGGCAGGGGGTTGGACTGGATGGCCCATGAGGTCTCTTCCAACTCTATGATTCTATGATTCTATCCTGTTACGGCAGCTCCACTGGCAGCTAGCCTGCTTCCAAGCACAATTCAAAGTGCTGGCTTTATCCTATAAAGCCCTAACGGTTCCGGCCCAGCATACCTGTCCAAACATATCTCCCTCTATGAACCATCTCAGAGATTAAAATCATCCGGGGAGGCCCTGCTTTCAGTCCCG